ATCGTTACTGTTACTTAGTCAGTGGCGTCACTTGGGTCGGGTGTCACCCGGTGCGGCACTTCATGGTGTCACCCCACCCCTTTTTTATCACTGTAAATGTTTCATTTCTTTTCACCCCTTTACCCCCCCCCCCCCCTCCGGTAAAAGCTTAAAAGTCTTCACAGTTAAAAATAATCGGTTTATCTATAGTCAGTTGTTAATACAGCTGGGTGTATCATTGTTTTCTCTATAGCAAGTTACATCATAGTGTCCCCCCCCACCTTCCCTTGTTGTGATCGTCATTATGTACTTAAAATATTTAAAATGGTGTCACCCAGTGTGGTCTGCGACCCCCCCCCCGCCCCTTCCTCGCGACGCCTCTGTACTTAGTAAAACATTCGCCATATCTATCTATATGTATGCTAACCCTAACCTTTACACTAAACTCATCCCTTACCATTACATTAACTATTAATTATTCCAGAGCCTGTCCATGAATCTTAAACTTTCAGGGGTGGTGACGCTTAATACTTTCGGGAATAGGGATGGTATTGGTTAATGTTTAGATTTTCTAGCTTTTTTTTTTAAAATATATATTTGGTCCGAGATGGAGGGGCAGCGTATCTCCCCCCCCCCCCCACACACACATGGTGAGATGTCTGAAAGAGACTTAACCCCACATCTAGGCAGCGACATCGACAGGAAAAATCACAATGCGGCTTAGTATTGTCACGACGAAGATGCCACTATATTGTGACATTTAAAGTCGTAAATAACATATTATTATTAGCATTATTACACGTTTTTATTGATCTTCAGTTTTAAGTCAGTGGCATAGTTTAATTCAGGTAGAGATTTAGCTATGGGCCATGGGCTGTGTTGCCAACGTCAATTTACTACTGTGAGTGTGTAGCGTTACAAGGCGGAAAAACTTGAGTGGTCCGCATTTATGTCTGTCTATATTTCTTCTTTTGCTGATTATAGAAGAACGTTTTTTTTTCCGCCTCAGACATGTAATTTACAGTGTCAGTTTGCCTTGCATGTTTGCTTTTGTATTACAGTTTTCATCATCGGCTAGTGAAGACTGATACATATTTACAACAATAGTAATACTTCTTTCTTACATGTAGCCTAATTTCATTTATTTAAGATGGCCTACTTATACATAGACATAATACAAAAAGTCTATTTACAGTTTTATTTAAAAAAAAAAAAAAGACAACTGAAAATGCAAAATTGTAATTAATTGATGATTCAAGGGAAATTTTTTTCATCGGCGTGGTGGGCTGAGGGGGTTTGGGAAATTTATTTTATCTCAACAAAGAAAGTATAATTTTTTTTTTTTTTCTTTTTTTTTTTTTTTTTAAAGCAAGTATAATTGGAAAACGAATTGAATTCATTATCTCTGTAACATTTAATATTTTTATTAATCGATTAGGTCTATACATTTGTTTGCTTATTTAATATAGCTTCTACTTGTAGAATAGAAAGGTAATTTAATAGTTAGATAAGTTTATGTTTGTTCATATTACTTTTTTTTAAATTAAAAATATTTGTTCCCATAATTTCATTTTATAATACTTCTTAATAAACATACGTTTTTATTACTACTGAATTTGTCCATGTATTTAACGATTTGTAAAGAAATAATTTTAGGTAGTTTCCCTTGGCAAAATATTGTTTGCTAAATAGGTCACTAATCGGCCATTCAAAATTCGGAAACCGCTGATTATCTTCAGTAAGAATATGGTAAATTGTAGCTACGTTTTTCGGCGTTAGAATAAATTGGCTGTAAAAATTAATACACGTGATACCAAATAATTATTTATTTAATATTTTATAAGTTGGAACAAACGCTACGTAACTTTAACGGGCTTCGCTCAACGTCATTTTGTGACTACTTGTTAGGTGGGCCCCTCTTAGATAAGTGATCTCCCTTAATATGTGAACTCTATGATATAACGGAGTAATGGCGTATGTAAATTATAATGTTTATAGAAATACTGATTGCACTCAGAGTTTCTTCCAGGCATCTTTTCGGAGGGGGGGGGGGGGGGTTTGTCGTCGCCCCCCCCCCCCCCTGACAAAGTCTAACGCCCCCACCCCCCGAACAAAATGGAATTAATATAGAAAATATATACTTTTAACAGTGTCCGCCCCACCCCCGGAAATTTTAGTCCGCCCCCGAAAGTTCCAAGTGCCCCCCCCCCTCCGGAGAAAAAAGTCTGGAGGAAACACTGATTGCACGTGTTAAAGAGCTATTGATTGCACTGGTTAAAGATATAGATTACACGGGTTAAAGAGTTGTTGATTAAATCAGTTAAATAGCACAGACGGTGAGATGCTTAGTTTTTTTTATTTTTTATTTTTTCTCAATTTCCTTACGATTTGACTGCTACTGGTATACCAAGGATTCTCTCAGGCATTTATCCGACGGGAGGGGGGGGGGGGGTTATCTCTTACAACCCTCCCCTACCCAGTATTCACCCACCATCCTAGCACGTACATTGACCCTAGACACAATATTAAAAAAAATAGAAAACTTAAAATAAAAAATCAAATAGGCCTATACTTAAACTATTATTCCAACTTGGACTTAGTGCTGATCACACTATCCCTTTGTATGCCGTGGTCACAGAAACAAGTGAACTCTACTTCACTTGCCACGTAGACCGTGAGGTTTGAAAAGGAAAACTTTACTTTTTTTTTACTTATTATTCCACCTATCCCCCCCCCCCAAGGTGTTTTTTCCACTAGAGGTTTCAAATGCCCCCCTCGGCTAATTGACTGAATGAAATACTGTATTTCACACTTCTTGTGCCTCTCTCCCCAGCCCAATTGCCCACATGTATACACACATACATACACACACACACACATATATATATATATATAGGCCTACATATATATATATATATATATATATATATATATATATATATATATATATATATATATATATATATATATATATACATATATATATATATATATATATATATATATATATATATATATATATATATATATATATATATATATAGGCTATATGGGCAATTGTGTGTGTGTGTGGGGGGGGGGGCAAGTGTGTGTATGTGCGTGTGTGTGTGTGTTTGTGTGTGTGTGTGTGTGTGTGTGTTTACATCCGACGTGTCCGCCCCCCCCCCCCCCCCACCCCCCTCCCTCCATATCACAGCAAAGACCACATACATGTAACCCATACTCCTATCATGTAACGTAATTTATTTTCTCTCTCTTCGCGTCAAAGAATTGAGAACGACGTCTTGATACCCCGGTCAACAAAAGAAGTGGGCGGTGCCCGACGGTCTGAGGTTATCAGGAAACAGCCTAGCGCCGTGCCATCGGCTGGTGCTTCCCTGTCCCCCGCGGTCGTCTGCTGAATAGGTGGGGCGGTGGGCGCTCGCTAGTAAACATGCACCTCTCATTGGTTAAGACGTTTAGCTCTGACACACGCACCCTGGAGGGTAATTCTAGACCCCCCTTGCGTTTAAACGAACGCTCCATACAGCCGGGGACTAGAATAATCTCCCTTTAAAACTATGGTGTTTAACTTAAAATTTAGATTTTAGGTTTAGTTTATGGGTAGTTTTAAATAATTATTTAAAACTGACCATAATAAAAGGAAATATAAATCAGCTCAAACTAAGCTTTTGACTTAGACTTATAAAATTAGGATTAAAAATAAGCCAGAATTAATTAAATGTGTTTAGGTTACATCTAGCTTTTAGCTTTAGTTGAGTCAATGAAAAAATTAGATGTAGATCTAGATTTTAAAATAAAGAATTCTCAATCAAAGATAGGGTTAAGATCTGGAGTAGTGTTGATGTTGTTGGATAAATTATCTTCTAGAAACATAGCGTTTCTTTTATAGTTTCATAAGAGGTTCGCTTAAAATTATTTACTAGTTTTGAAAAAAAAGTAAATTGTATTCAATTTCATTCTGTCTTTTTGTCGAAAAATGTAGCATAATTTGAAGGTATATTTAAAAATTGCCATGTAAACAGCCCAATTACTATCTTATTGCATGATTTTAAAATCAAAATTTAATCAAGTCTTAATTCCGGAATAAAAGAAGTAATAAACCGGTAGTGATCTCCCCTAAACTTTCTCGAATATTCTTATATAAAACAACAGGGGATGGTAACTGGGGATACAGTTATGATTTTTAATCCATTTTAAATACTTAAACTTTTAAAAATAGAATAGAATCTCATAAAAAAAACATTGCGCACCAAGCAAACGCCGAATAAAAACGCGTATAATAGTGCGCAATATTATTAGTACTTTAAAAATTTACATTAGTTTTTTGAGAAATCGGAAGTAGCGTAAATTACTACTTCCAGTCAACGGAAATTACTCAAAATTTAACAGAAGGTAGAGAATTAGATCTTTTACTTACATGTGAAATTTCATTTATCTATCTGAAAATAGTACTCAAGTTATAGGCTTTTGAAAAATTCAAAGTAGGAAAAGTACCACTTCCGGTTATCGGAAATCGCTCAAAAGTTGATACGGATCTACGATTTTGATAAAATACTTATATATGAAATTTCATCAACCTAGCTGTAACGGTACTCAAGTTATCGTGTTTACACACAGACACACACACGGACAGACACACACACACACAGACATACGGACAAGATTGCAAAATTATGTTTTTCCGTATCAGTGAGGTGTAAAACGTCGAGATTTGTAAAAATCTCGATTTTTTTTTTTGCACGATTACAATACTTTCTCTATACTACGTATATACGAGAAAGTAAAAAGAAGCAAATGCTATAGACAAGAACAGCCTATACTAATACACACACAGCGATTATCCGGATTCCGTTTAAGCGGACGGTTAAGATTTCCTAATTAGTAGTAGGGTAATCAGAACTTCTAAAATCGCTAACGGAAGGTGAGGGGGCCGGGGTGGGTGGGGGATGGGGGGAGGGGTTACGTCTCCCAGTCCGGCAGCATTCCCCTATTGTTGTTAGATGGTCGCGTGGTAACTCACCAGATAGCAGCAACAGCGCTCGCGAGATCGGACACCATCTCTGGCTACCATCGCTTGCTACCATCGCATGCTACCATCGCTACCATCAGTAGACTAGAACTCGAGCAGGGCATGAAAGAAGTAATAGGAGACTAAGACACAGAGGGCGACTTGTGAGATTTAATATTTTGTCGTTACCTGGATAGACATAAATATTTGTTTCAAAAAGGATACCATAACATTACTCTGAAGTTAAAGATTCTAGGCATTCCATTACATTACTCTGAAGCTTTAGATTCTATGCAGGTATGTTTACTTAAGAGTATAATATTGTATAATTGTTGTAATGTACTAATCAACAATTTTGTAATATTAAATACGCCACAGTTATACCATTAATTTTAATCACTGATACTTTTGATATCTTGATATTTATATATGGGTCTAAATATTAAAACATGAGTATACTGCTATATACTATTATATATTAGTAGTTTTAGCTTTATAAGATTATATAAAAGGATGACTTCAACTAACAGGTATTGACCATGAATGACCGTGTGTGTCTAGTTTTAGTGGGGGAGGGGACTGAAATAGTAAAATGTAAAGCATCATTTCGAACCTTACGGTCCAGCGGGGCAGGTGAAGTAGACTTCATCTGTTTAATTCACCTAAGCATATTAAAACATAATATTGCTAGCACTTAGCCCAGCCGCCTTTAGTGATGGCGTTGTAGAACGATCAACTTTTAACCAGAAAGCCTCAAGTTCGGATTCCGGCATCGAGTCCACCCAGCTCTAATGGGTACCTGACTCACGATATGGAAAGTCAAGGCCTTAATTACTTAGCAATATATTACCATGTGAGATATGAATATTGTATAAATAATGTAGCGTAGTTAAAAGAAGAGGTACTACATTAGATTAAGTTTACTACGTTAGATTAGAGAGACCATGTTAGATAATGATAACCGAATTGGAGTGACATGTTGTTTCCCCTAAGAATAATTCCTTTTCAGTGGATCTGAAATGATGCTTTAGGGTCTTAAATAGTTCGACGTCATTTATAGATGCCTTGTCTTACTTGAACTAATCCTCTTTACTCCTAGTATAGCATAGCCTTCCATTTTCCCGGTCTCCGGCTGTTGATTTACAAACTCTATAACCGTACATAATCCAATACAGGACACCTATCTTTTTATTATCACTTTGACGCAAACATTCAATAAACTAACACACCATAGAATGCAGGACTAACTTAGTTTGGTGTTAACTAAATAATACTAACATTACAATACGTTAAAAAATAGCCTAAGGAATTATGTATATAATTTAGTAAACAGAATGTGCACATTCCTTTAACTTTATATAACATTTTATACATGAAAACTCCTCATATTTTATAACATTTCAATTTACAAACAACATTTTCTAAACCAGGGGTGGACTGGCCCGCCGGTCTACCGGAAAAATCCCCGTGGGCCCATTGGAAAAATTTTAAGTAGGCCCCAAGGAAAACATTTCTGCCCCCCTCCCCCCCCCCCCCCCCTAGTCCTTTTAGTGTTTTGATTTAAACATAATACTTTGTTGGTATTCCTCCGTTTTAACGTTTCCCTTCTTTCATACCAAGCAGCTAAATTCAGGCTTTGATGGAGAAAAAAAAATGCTCAATGAAAATTTCAATCAATCTGAGGTCCAGGGCCCATTATAAAAATTAAAATTTCCCCTGCGTATTAGACACAGCCAGTCCACCCCCCCCCCCCCAATACCTCATTCATTTAAATTTTGCAATATGTTTGTTGTTAATATTTACCTATTACATATTGTTACACGAGTGGCTTATAATGTTTTCTTGTGGTGTAATTTTACGCCGGGAGATTTTCTATTAGTTTCTAATGAAGTCATAACAGGAGATTTTCTGTATAGTGATGTGATCCCTACAATGTATTTTAAAACCCCACATTTCTTGCGGTATCTACTTGTTTATATATATATATATATATATATATATATATATATATATATATATATATATATATATATATATATATATATATATTATGTAGGATGATGGCGTCGGGAATTATATAATACAAAAAGGAAAACCTCAACACAACATAATTAATGTTTTATAACATAGTACCATAACATAATTTACACAAGCACAAATAACAAAACCATATATTTATTTAATATTTTTCTGTTGTTTAAACTAATTGCGAAATAAAATTCACGAACCTATTTTTTAAATTTTGACAATCCTTTTACACGTAATATTACATAGCGTGTCTCAAGTTGTTAAAGTTAAATCAATATCGAATCATTTCGTTATAAGTACGGGACTAGCTAAAATTGTGCTAATCACGGTCATAATTCGGCATCCCTTCACCATGTAGCGGGGGTCGGAGGGGGTGGGGGGTTGGCTTGTTCAGTGTATGAATGGTTGTAAATAGACGAATTTGTGTACAAAATAAAATTACATATTTAATAAATATCCGGTTAACAAATGTTAAATAATAGTCTACTGTAAGGTTAGTTGCCGAGACTAGACAAACGATTAGGTGGGCGAGCGACATTGCGAGCATATCCAAGTAATTTTAAATCGTGTAATGCATAGTGGTGTTTCTTTCAGACATTTTTCTTCGTGGAATGGGGTTGAAAATAAATATAGGGGGGTGGGAGGCAGAGGAGGACGGACCTTGATTAACGTATATATTTTCTATATAATTTAAAAAAAAAATTCTTCCTTTGAGGGAAAGAAATGCCTAAAAAAAACTCTGATAATCAACTTTTTCTTGTTTGTGCACAATACACATGGGGCAGATGATGTAGAGTTCATCTTTTTCAAATATCTTAACATACATTAGGATAGTGTCGTCAGTACCATATCATAATTTCCCCAACGTGAGTCGGGTGGACGCCGGTACTCACTAAAGACCCGAGCCCGGTAATTTAAAGTCATGAACAATGGTGTAATCGATCGAGCGTCTGCTAATCTTTCTCTAAATGAAAAATGCAGTAAAGTATACACAATTGTTAATCCTATTTTATAATATTTATTGTATCAGTATTAAATTGTATACGGAGTAGCCTGGCGGTAAGTCCTAAGTTCAAATTAGATTTCATGTCAGAAGACCGTCCCTGAGTCCACCCAACTCTGATGGGTACCTAACTCACATTAGGGTAAGTAAAGGCGGCTGGGCATAGTGCTGACCACACTATCCCTTCATGTGCCGAGGTCACAGAAACAAGTGAACTCTACTTCACTTGCCCCATAGACCATCAGGTTTGAAAGAGAAAAGAGAACTTTACTAATTAAATTGTATATCTTGTCCTTAGGTAACAAAACCCAACTCAAACATTTATTATGTAAATAAATTGTCGGGTTCTGGTTAAATATATTCGTGTACCTTCCCGATCCCTACCTTTAGATATACAACCAAAAACATTCGCTTTTAAATTGTGTCTAAAATGTAATAAAATAATACAAAACAAATCTGAATTCAAGGTTCGATAAACCATCAGCTTTCTATTGCTACAATAGTTTATGTTGGTGAATACGACCTCGCTGTTTTCCATTTACTGGTTCATGTTGGCAGAGGTGTTAGAGTCGAATGCCGGCGCCCAAGGCGAATAATCAACTATGCGCCCCCTACCAACATTTACATATTCTTAGTACCATTAGCAAAAAATCATCCCGCCCGAGTCAGAGGCGTAGCGACCCATTCCTTTGCCAGAGTCAAACTATCAAATTCACGTAGTTCCGTCCCCCCCCCCCCTCCTCAGAATTTAATAAATGATTATTCATAATAACGAAAAAGCGCCATCCCTCATTTTAGAAAAGTTTGGGGGCGTTTTTATCAGCAATGGTACCTTACCAGTTTTTATTTTCATGTTACTCAATTGATGTAGAAAACAGTTCGATCAGTCGGTAAAGTAAAGTAGCAATCTGCTTTCTTAGATTTCTCTATGCAATTCAATAAACCCGCTTTGAATGACATTGAGTTTATTTTCAACACAATTAGCGTATCATAAATTATTCTGTGCGACTATCGAGTTTATAAAGCATTAATTACCTGCATATCGGCTTGTTCAAATGGTCAGCTACATTTCAACCACCCTCATCTTTATCTTTGTTCAAAAGTAAGTAAAACTACACTTTCCTACCGGATTTAAAATATGTGTTAGCTTTAGGAAGCTTGAAAAACAGGCGTCGTGACTGAAATAGCAAATATCGACACAGATTATTGTACCTGTGTCTACCCTTGGCCTTAAAATTATATTCTTTGTCATTATTTGATATTTGAAAGCTCTAGTTTATTATTCTTTTTTTTTTCTGAAGAAAAAGGCAGGTACGGTGACTTAAACATATCTGATATTTAGCGTCTAGAAACCGATTTTCTATATTTTCATTCCGGTGATTTAATAACACAAAATGAATGTAGTGAAAAATAGCCGCATTTATTAATTAACTGGATTTATAAATTCAAATAGTTGCATTAATAATTTTAACTGGATTTACTAATTCAAAGAGTCGTATTAATTATTTTGACTGGATTTATTAATTAAAATAGTTGCATTAATTATTTTAAAAGCCTAAGATATTAATACATAGGGCCGTATTTATTAATTCTAATAACCGAATTAATAAATATAAATATTTATTAATTTTAATAGCCTTACATAGTGATTTAAATATCTTAAATAGTCGCATTTTTTAAAATTCAAATAGCGCAGTTATGTATTTAAATAACCTGAGTTTTTTTTTAAAATAGGCATAATTGCTCACTCATTCGATTTAAGAAATTACAAATCCTTATTTTCATTTCTGCACTTTAGAGACTATGTTACATGGAATTTTAAAAAAATTGTTCAATAACATAACTATTTTTATCTTTTCTATTTTAAAATGAAGATTACAACATACTTTAAAATCAGCTTTATTATAATTAAATGGATATATTTGAATTTAAATATAGATATTTTGTTGTTACAATGCTAAACTAGTTTCCCACTTAACGTACTCCATTTTGAAATAAACAGAAAGCCAAACACATAAGAATCCTGAAGTCCTAACTTAATTTAGTCCTCACTTAATTATATTAAAAAATAGCATGGGTCCGTCGTTCAATCAAATCGGCAAGCTTTGAGTAAATCTTGGACCTAGGGAAACATACGTTCTTCCCCAGCATATGGCATGTTTTAATTAGCTCTGCATTGGAGAGAAAGGAGCGGGCGTTGTGGTGTCTTGTCTAGATGCTGTGGTCAGATTGACCCTCACGTGTAAAGCTAGTTTCAGATAAAAGGAGACATTGTCTATATCCAGTATTTAAATTAAAAATAAATTTAAAAAACGCTGTGAATATATGCGTTAATGTAAAGCCCATTCTTCGGTAATTTCTTCTGTTAAATTAAAAAGAAAAAAATATTTAAAAAAAAAAAAATAAAAGTCTTGGTAGTCCTGACATTGTAACTAAATTTAACTCAGAATATTATTATTTTTTACTTTTTCGTTAGTTGCATACATTTTTTAGGTTAAAGTAATTAGCATACACTTAGTTTGTATGCAGAAGGCATTTAACAAAAATGTATTTATATTTGAAAAACGTTAGCAACAAAGTGACTCAAGAATAATTTAAAGTTAACTTGTTGAAAAGGACAGTCCATGGGGGCAAATGAAGTAGAGTTCACCTGTTTCTGCGACCTCGGCGTATGAAGGTAATTAAGGTATAATGTGGTCAGCATAACGCTCAGCTGACTTTACTTTTTTTTTTACCGTGAGTTTGGTACTCATCAGAGCTGGGTGTACTCGGGGATTTCCTACTGATTTAAACTCAGATTTCAAAGTCAAGACTTTTGGGTTGGCAGTCTAACTGTCTACCGCTAGCCCCAGACACCCCATTAAAGAAAAATTTAGCACCAACTGAAATTAATTTTAGATTTCTTAAATTATTATTTTTTTTTATCTCGTAGTTTGATTAAAATTGAACAAAAGTTTGAATATATTTATTTTAAAAAGAGGACTTTACTAAATTTGTCAAAATCCAGTTTTAAATGCCTGAACCATTTAACAATTCTGATAGTGTATCTACACATACCTGCATTGACAAATGTATAGTCTCTGTGGCTCTAAAACCTACTAACCAAAACCTTTGTTTTTAAACCACTTTTTATTTTATTTATTTTAATTCGGATTTAATCAGTAAATGAGTTGTTTTTTTTAAGTTCTATAATCCCTACATGATCTTCATATTTTATATTACGATTTACGGTATCCATATATAATCAGTCATGAATTCAAGCATAACAGAGGTAACCCGCGTTTTTCGTTACGTATTTAATATGTGTGTGTACAGCTTGACTTGTTAGATTACAATACAATTATATTGAAAGTTAGAGTTGACTGAGTCTATACTCTTCTCGTGACTTGATAATCCTTCTAAATTTAAGGAGTCTGTAGCCCAGTAAATAATTTTGCGTCATTCAATTTTCAGTCAAAAGATTACGATACAGCTACATTAGAGTAAAGTAAAGAATCCTCTTTTAGACCTAGCGATCCACTGGGCAGATGAAGTAGAGTTCATTAGTTTCTTGACCTCGGCATGAAGGGAAGGTGTGGTCAGCACTTTGCCCAGTCGACTTTACTTCCCCTAACTAGCTTTAGGTAACAGCCGAGCTGGGTGGACTCAAGGACGTTCTACGGACTTTGGCCGGCTTCGAACGCGAGACATTTGGGTTAGCAGCCTAGCGCTCTACCACTTATGCCACGCTGTCCCATTAGAATCACTGGTCATTATTTTCGGCCAAAGAAATTTTCAACCTATGCTCACTAAATTACTTTAGCTTTTAGTTAACAGTAATCTGACCTTTTCAAACTCGGGTTTCGACCTTTATTTTTCAATCAAGATCCCAAGAAATATTTCCTGTAATTTATATGACTTCATCCGATTTTCAGCCAAAGACTACTATACTATTTTATTAGAGTCATTCGACAATTTTTTTCAGCCAAAGTGTAAAACACACATTTTTCCAAGGGCTCCATATATGAAGCTTAAATGAAGCTTTCTGCCATCCCATACTTGACGATCCTCCAAACTTGAAAGTTTAGAACACAACATTTTTTCAAGGGCCCCAGATATTTTCAGCTTAGGTGACCCTTAATGAAGCTTTCTCCCACCCCGCACTTAACAACCCCCCCCCCTTGAAAGTTTAGAACACATTTTTTTCAAGGGCACAAGATATTTCCAGTTTAGGTGCCCCCTTAATGAAGCTTTCTCCCACCCCCGGTACTTAATGGAAGGTTCCAGACCAAATACCAACTTTCTCCAGACTCGCTACTAACCAGGCATGGGTGCACGGGCGAGGTCAAACAGAAGACCGGCATATTTACTGCACGGTTTTAGTATCGGCCCTATCCGAGCCGGTCCCGCTTTCAGGGGGAACAATGGAGGGCCATCTGGTCACCGATTATCTCCCCTGGTATTCTTCAGAAAGCTACTGTAGTTGGGTTTTACTATTTGTCATGGTGAATTCCTCGCAGTGGCCAAGAGATAAGGGGAAGCAATTGTCTGTTGGTCTGAAAAACAAGTGAATTCTTTCCCCTGAATCTTATTGTTTTCGTACGAATTTGCTCTTTGTAAGAAAAAAAATTGGTTTGTTTTTTGTAAATGTTGTAAGGGTGACATCATTGTGGAGACAAACCTTCTGGAGATGGGCGAAGAAGACGTTAAGATAACGGAGGTTGGGTACCAGTCCAGTCTTCTTAAAATAGAGAATTCTGTTCTTGTGTAAATGCCGGCAGGGCATGGGTGTGTTGTATGAAGACTTGGTGTTCTGCTGGTAACGCGGTTAATATCAGATTAAAATTACTACCAGGTCTAGGGTTTAGACTAGGGTTAGTACTGGAGCTAAAGGCTGTGTTTTGGTTATAGTTTTGGCTTGGGTTAATGTTAGACTAAGTATAGCCGTCCTAAAAACAAATACGCGTCTTCAGTAGGGGCTATATACCAATAATTCTAACTCTATAGAAGTTAATGAAATCTTTAAGAAAACCTGTGGATAATGCATGGATGGATACCTAAGTTGCTAATGAAATATTAAAATAACATCTCTAGATAATGAATGGATGGATACCTAAGTTTATTCCATTTTTTAAGCTAAAATATATAAAGAGCTCCAACGACAATATTTGCTGGTCTTATAGTTGTCACTACTCATAAGGTGTGCTGTAATTTGTTGTTTTGTTTTGTGTGTCGTTGTCGAAGCAAAATATTTACATAGGCCCCAAACTACGACCTTTAGTCTAACTCAAAGAGTCAAATAAAAGAGAATGATTCGCTAATGCTTTGGCCGTCAAAAAATGGTTTTAAAGTTTACTTTTTAATAGTTATTTTTCGTTCATTTGGTTCAAAGGACATACTTTTGTAACATTGATTTTTTTTTCTTTTTTTTTTCAACTCTGTCGTAAAAATAGAAAGCCAAAAATAAACAACAACAAAACAGAAACACCATTAAAATAAACTACGAACTATCGTGAACCAGACATGACTTCAAATGTTTATTCAAATAAAATACACAATGATAGTTCTGTTACAAATAATCTTCTTGTATCTGTTGCAGCACTGAGTATAATGATTCCGGGCAACAATCATCGAACAAAGATTGAAACCTACTGAGTACAGTTTACTAACAAAGGTCATAGAAGAAACTTTACTTGCTGCTGAGCGTTAGTCAAATTTGTTTGGAGTGAAAACCCATTAGACAAGGATAATCGTCAAAATAGATCATCGACCTAAAATCAGTCCATCTGTTGAAGATCATCGACCAAAAATCAACCCGTCGGTCAAAGACGACTTTCCAAGATCACTGATCAAATATCACTGACCAAAGATCATTGGCCACAGATAATATCCCAAGACAGCCTTGACCTTACAAAAAAAAATGGTTGACGTCCCCAATGTACTGCAGTACCCCATACACTTCCCCCACCTTCACGCCCCCGTCCCCATCCACCTGCCCCCAAATTGGAGGGAGTTTCACCTCTACCACCCCCCTGCGCCCCCGACCCTGATCCAGCTCACCCCTCCCCATCATATCCACGGGCTTACACTGGAGCACCCCCAGGCCTTCATTCCTCACCAGTACCTCCCCGACCCCCCACCCCAGGGAATAAAAAACTATTACCACCAACCTAACATGGATGGACACGCTTTACCCAGCGGGGCTTTCTCCCAGCAACACATCACCACCAACACCAACAACAACAACAACACACTGAGAGAGAATTGCACACGAGCACACAAACAGGAACAGATCAAAATTTTCGCCAAAAGCATCCAAGCCTTCGACACCAAACCACTACGGGAATCACGTGACCTATCCCATGACTTCCAAGACTTCCAACGTGGGGTCGATCCGGCTCCACTTTTCTCTAAAGACGATCTGAAAAGGAAGCACGCGGCTAATTTTAGAATCGGGAAACTCCGAAAATCTTCAAAGGAGCCTAGAAACTGGTGCGTTGGACAATTTGATAAAGAGGATATTAAAAGCGAAGTGAAAGTAATAACGGAACAATTAAATTTTGGGAATCGACCTGACGCATATACTTATCAGACTGCGGCGGATGTGACGTCAGAGTCAAGTTTCGCGCAACCAGGTAATGTTGTTTACGATTATTTTCTCCATAACTTTTCCTTTCTTTGCATTGAACATCATACAAAGGTTTAATTGTTTTTCTCTGTCTCTAAATAAAACACTGATACTAGCGAGATACTAGCGAAGGCACATGATGTTTACAAATAAAATGTTGAAATTTCCAGAAAAAAATATTTAAAAAATAAAATTTGTATCCAGAACGTTGGGTCTCGCAGTTTCTTTAATTAACAAAAATTCGGGTCAAATACATAGTTATATTTTTGAAAATATCACCAATGATGTTTTTAAAATAATGTTTTGGAATTAATTAAAAGGTTATATTCTGAAATTGAAATAATTAGTAAATAAAAAAATCATTACTGTCAACAGTTAAACATTTAATAACATGAATTAATTATACATATCTATATCTATTTTAATAGGCATATATATATATATATATATATATATATATATATATATATATATATATATATATATATATATATATATATATATAGACCTATATATGTATAAATAATACATATTTGAATAAAACTGTTAATTAAATATTTTTTTATACAATTTAATTATAATCATGGTCAATGTTTAAATGGGAGTCCAGAAACCATCGAAGTTCAATTAATTAGGCAGTACTGTTTCTTTTTACATAGATCTGCGCAGGTCTCTAGTTGTGGTCAAGCCTCGATTTGACTTCGCCAACCTCCCCAGGATGGTCAGCGAGGAGAACTCACGGGTGGATGACGTCAGCGAGAGAACGGTCAAGGTCGTCAGTCACGTGCTATTGCACGCGCAACCAATCAGGTACTTAGCCATACACACTATTGTTAAAGTGCTACTTTCGTTTTGTGGTGCATGGATATGTGTTTGTAGTACATATAAGGAATTTAAAAATGTTATTGTTGATCTTAGTTTCGATTTAACTCCTGTATATGACTGATGATAAACACACTCATATTATGTGTTGGGCTTTTGTGTAGGCTTGAGTTTACCTGAATTCACTCAGCCCTAATGTGTACCTGAATAGAATTGGGCGTGCTAAGATAAAGCATACAATCAGAATTCACACAGCCCTAATGTGTACCTGAATAGAATTGGGCGTGCTAAGATAAAGCATACAATCAGAATTCACACAGCCCTAATGTGTACCTGAATAGAATTGGGCGTACTAAGATAAAGCATACAATCAGAATTCACACAGCCCTAATGTGTACCTGAATAGAATTGGGCGTACTAAGATAAAGCATACAATCAGAATTCACTCAGCCCTAAAGTGTACCCGAATAGAATTGGAAGTAGTAAAATGAAGCATACAATCAATTATTTGTCATCTTTATGGTCATTTTCCATGCCTCACACTTATTTTTATTTTTTAGTATTGCTCTGTTCCTAAAAATCATGTTTTTATTGCCTTTATCGGAGTCAATGGCCTCAATGGCGCATAACCAGTTGACACGTATCCTTAATTGTGATGGAGGCGTGGTCGAGTCGGCAAAAGCTCGATCCCTTCCAACAATAAAAATTAAGAACGAAGAAGAAGAAGAATTGCCTTTATGTATTTTAGATTTATTAACATTTTCGCTTCTTTATTCTAAATCTATACCCATAGCCACATCAGTAAAACAAACTTATACAACGTATGTTCTTAAACTTTTCTTTTTTCTCCCAGTAACGGCCAATTGCCTACGACAGTGCAGGCGTTTCCCAACAACAAACTTCGTAAGGCTGGCAGACGACAGTCTCGCCCCAGGTAGGTTAGTGTTAATCTTATGTTAACCCATTTTGACCCTTCCGACAGGAGCACAACACAAAAGCTGTTCCAGTTTTCACAAAGTTAACTGCCTTCGATAGCTCTTTGTTACAAATGAAATGACCTCCAAAAAAACAATTTTTACCATAAAACGTTACAATATTATTACACCTTTACAACTATTTTACAACAGTTTTAAAAAACAATTAAGATCTAAGTTAACCCTAGCTCCCTTCTAAGGCTTTACTCATTTTCAGAGTTTCACTCAAGCTAACCGAACTAAATCAAAATTTATGTTGACTTTATTTTATTTTTTTGTAATTCTGTAACCTTAATTAGTGCTATTCAAAAAAAAAGTTTATCATATGTTAATCCAAATTTAAACATATGTTAACTCTGCAAAAAAAAGATGTAGCCACAAATTAATAAAATATTAATCCAATATTAATTAATATTAATTCACAGCAACACTGTCTTAACTTTTTGTAAGCCGAAGTTAATATTAAGTTTACCCTAACTTAACAGTTATATCAAAACCTTAAAAATATAAAGCCAACTCTTAGTTATTTTCTTACACTCTTAAGTTAACCCTAACCATACCCTCTAAAGAAACTACCAGTAAGTTGAACCTAAGCCACCCTTTAGTTAACCGTAACTTTTCGCTTTTAATCAAAACTTAATCCCATAAAAATCATCAAGCTAACTCTTAATTAACCCACCTTAAAAGTTGACATAAGTTAACTCTAATTAGTTAACCATACATTAACTCTAACTTAACCCTCTATAACAGGTAACACTAAGTTAAAAATGTGTTTACCATTCAATAAACCTAAGTTAACCTACTATAATAGTTAACTCTGTTAATCCTAAGTTAATCCTAGATTAACCTTCTATAAAAGTTAACCCTAAGTTAACACTCAGCTAACCTTACGTTAACCTAAGTTTAACCTAAGTTAAAACTAAGTTAACCCTTAGTTAACCTTAAGTTAACCCTAAGTTAACTCTAAGTTACACCTAAGTTAACCCACTGTTTACTTGTCACCAGGAGTAAGAAACAGTTTATCTGCAAGTATTGCTCACGTGAGTTCACCAAGTCCTACAACCTGCTCATCCACGAGAGAACGCACACGGACGAGCGGCCTTTCACGTGCGATTCGTGCGGGAAGTCTTTCCGTAGGCAGGACCACCTGAGAGACCACAGGTGGGTGGTGGTGGTTCATGGTGGTGGGAGGTGTTGGTGGTGTTGGTAGTTGATGGTGGTGTTGGTAGTTGATGGTGGTGGGTGGTGTTGGTGGTGTTGGTAGATGATGGTGTTGGTGGTGTTGGTGGTTGATGGTGGTGTTGGTAGTTGATGGTGGTGTTGGTAGTTGATGGTGGTGTTGGTAGTTGATGGTTGTGGATGGTGTTGGTAGTTGATGGTGTTGGTAGTTGATGGCGGTGGATGGTGTTGGTAGTTAATGGTGTTGGTAGTTGATGGTTGTGTTGGTATTTGATGGTTGTGTTGGTAGTTGATGGTTGTGTTGGTAGTTGATGGTTGTGTTGGTAGTTGATGGTTGTGTTGGTAGTTGATGGTGGTGGGTGGTGTTGGTAGCTAATTGTGGTGGTTGGTTATGGTAGTTACTGATAATTGCTGCTGTTGGTTGTTAATGATAGTTGGTGGTATTAGTATTCAAAAGTAGTGGTAGTTAATAGTGATGTATGGTGTTGACAGTTAATGATGGCTGGTGGTGTTGGTAGTTTATGCCAGTTGGTCATGTTGGTAGTTACATGTACTTTGTGATTCAGGTAGTTAAAGGCAGTTGGTGGTATTTGTAGTAAATGGTGTCTGGTTTCGATAATAATTAATGGTAATAGGTTCTGCTAGTACTTAAAAGTAGTGGTGCAAATATTTAACGGAAATAAGTAGTGGGTCACTAACAATGACGTAATCAGCTGTAATATAATTGTAATGTTTTTTTTTTTATCAAAGGTAGTGGTCAGAGTTAGTTAAGAAGGTGAGGCTTCTATAGGGAATGTAGAATGCTTGTAATTGTAATTAATATAGCTATAATTTCTATCGTGATATTAGAAGTCGTTGGTAGTTTAGAAGGGGAGTCTAAGTGATATAAAAACCTAATAGTCAGAACTACAGTGTATCTTAACGAATGTAAAAAAAAAAATACTCAGTTAATATTGTGAAATTGTGAATGACAACGTGTTGTTTCTAATGTAAGCACAACCTGTGTTGTCAATTTAGTTTTGTCATATTAGTGATATTTATCTCAATTATTCATATACTGAAGAGATTTATGTTTTATATTTACTTTTGATCGGCCAGGTATATCCACAGTAAAGAGAAACCATACAGGTGTATGGAGTGTGGGAAAGGTTTTTGTCAGGCCAGGACGCTGACCGTTCACAAGGCGACACACATACAGGTAGAGTGCAATACACACATATGTATGACAACACACATAAGTGTACATCTCACACATGAGGCACATACACAAGGCGACACACATACTGGTATAGTCATATAAACCGTATGTATGACAACACACATAAATTTGAGGCACATACACAAGGCGACACATATACATGTAGAGTGCGATACACACGTATGTATGACAACACACATAAATGTACATCCCACACAACAGGCATATACACAGTGGCAGACATACACTTACAGGTAGAGTCCAATACACACATATGCCTTTTATCACACACTCACACTAATTTACAGGACCCACTATACACAGTCACAAACATGTGCAAAAAGGTAAAATTCATACAATACATTGTTTTCTCTCTTTGCTTCATACTCATTCACACACTCAAGCACATACATTCACACATAAACTCGCACTCACTAACAAATGCACGAAATTTCTTAAAACTTCCACAAAATAAAAATAAAAAACTCACTCACGCTTGCGCATAATCCCACTCACGCACAGTCATGAACACACGTTCGTGGTTTAGCTCACAAACACATATGCAAACTCTCACACACACACACACACACTCAAAAATGCTCTCATTTGGTTGTTATCGAGGTTGACTAACACGATCTTAAACATATGTACGCGAGCACACACACACATACACACACATACACACACTCATGCATGCACACATACTCTCACTCACACTCACATACCCTCATGCATACATACACATACACTCTTACACACATACACAAACACAGTAGCTCACAAACGAGAAAACATATGAGCAAACACACACTTTCTACCACATATACGGTATCTGCCTATACATTTTATTTGATGGGGGCAGGTGGATGAAGCCTGCTACATTTTAAAATAAATATATATTTGTGTGGGCGTAATTAGACCTATGTGCCGATAATTTTCATATAAGCTCACCAACTTTGTTTTTACTGGGGGGGGGGCGTGAGGTGGCTACGCTACGCTTCCTTAGCAACCAACTTGAATCGCCTATCATTCAGTACACATAATGCTATTATCACTAGATCTATATAGAGCTACCGCTACTGTTCGTCATATCCTGTCTGTATACACATAAACATCACTACAAGCTGAAAATAACCGAATAAACAAAACTATTCCAGAAAGACGACCCCGCATCGAAACCTCAACCACCACAAGAACGGTCCTTCTCTACAGGGTCGTTAACATCATCGCCCACCCTATCAACTTCGTCCATGGCGTCCCTAGAGATCTCGTTAAAGCTCGAGGTCTGACGTCATGTCACGAGAAGAGTGACGTCAGCAACCAGGAAGAGAGACTTCAAAACTTTAGACATCTATTTGGAACACGAACTGCAAATTAATGTAGAGATTACCAGAAAGAATAAATAGATTTACTTGTGTAAATAAACAGTGCCTTACAAAGAACAATTTTTGCTTTTGTTTTATTTATAACGTTAGCATGTATTTATTTTTAAATCGAATAGGATAAACTATATAGGATATATATTTTATAGAGACGATATATAAATACTTAAAATACCATTATTTAGTTACTTCCTCTGATTATTCTGTTACTTCATCTGAACACTTTTTAGTAACAACTCTCCTTTGTTATGATAGCAACGATTACATACAAAAAACGGTGGGCAACCAGGACTAAATGTAGGTGGGTCGCCAGGATAAAATTCAGGTGGGCCGCGAGGATAAAATGTAGGTGGGCCGCCAGGATAAAATTTAGGTGGGCCGCCAGGATAAAGTTTAGGTGGGCGCCATGATGTAATCAATGTGTGCAGCATGGATAAAATTCCGGCGGGCCGCCAGGATAAAATTCAAGTGGGCCGCCAGGATAAAATGTAGGTGGGCCGCCAGGATAAAATTTAGGTGGGCCGCCAGGATAAAATTTAGGTGGGTTGCCATGATAAAATTGTGGTGGGCCGCCATGATAAAATTTAGGTGGGCTTCCAGAATAAAATTCAGGTGGGCCGCCAGGATAAAATTTAGGTGGGCCGCCATGATAAAATTGTGGTGGGCCGCCAGGATAAAATTTACGTGGGCCGCCATGATAAAATTTAGGTGGGCCGCCATGATAAAATTGTGGTGGGCCGCCATGATAAAATTTAGGTGGGATTCCAGAATAAAATTCAGGTGGGCCGCCAGGATAAAATTTAAGTGGGCCGCCAGGATAAAATTCACATGGGCCGCCAGGATAACATTTCAGATGGGCCGCCATGATAAAATTGTGGTGGGCCGCCAGGATAAAATTTAGGTGGGCCGCTAGGATAAAATTCAGATGGGTAACTCGTACTGTCTTCGGCTATCAGTGTTGTTTTTTTTTTTTACATAAATGTCTTCATTAAATTAACCGGTATGCGGAGTGTTCTAATTGTATATTGCAATTTGTAAAGTAATTTGTAACCCTTTAGACATCGGTCCTTAAGCTAGGTTTAAAAACATACACTATGAAACTTGCACACGGGAATGGACCACTTTTATTTATTTTCACCGCTTTTTTTTTTCCGCGTAGACACTGCTAGTCTACCCGTGATTGTGTTTAATGTTTCTTAAAAACATTTATTCTGGGTGCAGCCCCCCCCCCCCGACACCCAAACACGCCCTCCGCCCCCTTTCACAGGACTGAAATAGAACAAAGTAGCCGAACACCCCCCCCCCCCCATTGCGATGCAGCATGTCTCCCCCCCCCCCCTTCCTGTCGGAAGTTTCAATTCCTCCCCGGGGGAGATATATGTTAGAATGAAATTCTAGTTAGGTTGGTACAGCTGTTGTATACAACTGAGTTTTTGGCAACGTAACCGATTATTGGTTATCGCGGCTGATTATTAGTGGTCATAGCTGATTTTACTGGCCAAAGCTGATTGTTAGTGGCCATCAGACAGCTAATTTTAGTGGCCAAAGCGGATTATTTGTGGCCAACAGCAAAAGCTGATTTCAGTGGCCAAAGGTGATCGTTTATGGCCATCAGACATAGCTAATTTTAAAGGCCAAAGCTGATTATTATTGGCTAGCAGCCATAGCTGATTTTAATGGCCAAAGGTGATTATTTGTGGCCACAACTTATTATTTGGCAATAATTCTGATTATATCTGATAATCTTTGGCAATGGCTGGCCATCGTCACTTTTTAAAATGCAAGTGATTTTTAAAAAAAAAATATCAGACACGGTTGTGAAATGTAATTGGACTAAGGAGTATTTATAAACACGTTCCATGGTTCCTGAGAATAAGTAATAAAGGAGATACCAGCCATCAGAGTTTCTTCCAGACTTTTTTCTCCGGGAGGGCGGGGGGGGGGGGGGGAGAGACGGGACACTGTTAAAAGTATATATATTCTATATAAGTTCCATTTCGTTCGGAGGGGGGGGGGGGTGGCAGTGTTCCCTCCAAGGTGCGCGATTGCGCGGCCGCGCAGTAGTTTTGAACATGCCGCGCAGTCATCTTGTAAAATAGGTATATCCTGGTATAAGACTTAGAACACCGTGCACACCAAATACAAGTAGCACAATAGCCTTGTGAACAATACACGTTAAACAATTTTATAATTACAGCTTTTATTTAATTAGGTATTTTGTTAGGATGAAAGTTTTAATTTTATTCCATTATCTAAATACCATTTTTGGATCGAAATATATTATTATATTTAATCACTTAAAAATTAGCCAGTAGTAAGAAAAAATAATTGTGAAAAATTCAATTGAAGTTAATTAATAATAAACCGGGAGTGATCTCCCCTAAACTTTCTCGAATATTCTTATAACAAACAACAGGGGATGGGAACTCGGGCTATAGACATGATTTTTAATCAATTTTAAATACTTAAAGTTTTAAAAATAGAATAAAATCTCGTAGACAAATGAATTGCACACCAAGTGAACGCTAAATAAAAGAGTGTTTAATAGTGCGCAATATTATTAGTACTTTAAAAATTTACATTAGTTTTTTGAGAAATCGGAAGTAGCGTAAATTACTACTTCCGGTCAATGGAAATTACTCAAAATTTAACAGAAGGTAGAGAATTAGATCTTTAACTTATGTGTGAAATTTCATTTATCTATGTGAAATAATACTCAAGTTATAGGCTTTTTAAAAATTCGAAGTAGAAAAAGTACCACTTCCGGTTCTCGGAAATCGCTCAAAAGTTGATACGGATCTACGATTTTGATAAACTACTTATATATGAAATTTCATCAACCTAGCTGTAACGGTACTCAAGTAATCGTGTTTACACACGGACAGACACACAGACACACACACACACAGACATACGGACAGAGTTGCAAAGCCCAGTTTTTCAGACTGGATTACACACAAAACCTCTTAATTTTGATACATCTGGATTGATAATTTTTGCCCGATTAAAATAAGTCCTCTATACTTCGGATGTGATGAAGGACTGAGGTGTAATACGGTGAAAATTGTTAAAATTTCAAGTGATTTTTGTGCACGATTACAATACTTTCTCTATACTTCGTATATACGAGAAAGTAAAAAAATCTTGATTAAACTGATTAACACGTTTTATAAACTGAGCACAGAGAGTAGGTATTCCCAATTGTTCACTGCCCTCCCACACACGATGCCCCCCCCCCCCCCCCCACTCACTCCCCTCCCCCCCCCCCCCCCCTCCTACCTGTGCCCACCTGGAAATGCCGATCAGTGGGGTTGAGAGGGTGACATCGGAGCCGAAATGACCCGGGTCGTGAAAGCCTCACCTCCCAGGCAATAAACCAGCCCGGCTAATCGCTTCGAATTAGAGAGGGGAGATAAGCTTGTTATGGAAGGTGAAATGGGAAGTAATCCAACACTTTGTTCGGAGACGGGGTGGGGGGGGGGGGGAGGGAACAATGCGGGTGGGGGGTGAGATCACTGCCGTCAATTTCATGAACAACAGTTCGTGTTAGAAGAATTTGTAAGTCGAGGTTTAGCTTAAAGAGTTCATTAACGACATGACATCGTAACATTGTCCTAGGCTTTGTTCGTGTGAATAGGGTTAAAGGTAGGTTACCGTATAGCGGATGCAGGGAGGGGAACAATGTCTTCATCTAATTTACCAGATGAGGTGAGCGAATTTGCATATTAATTGGGTTTTTCCGCTACTTCCGGGCACGGGTGAAGGGGGAGGGGGGGGGGGGTGAGGGGGGCAATTTATGTTAGTTGATATATTCGACATAAGCAAACGAAGTACTCTAGTGTTGAGGGGGTTTAGGGATAGGTGAATCACTGGTTACGTGATAAGCTAGCTCTTTAGGTGACTCTATCTCTGGCTAAACCTATGGTCAAGTGACTTTAAAAGCTGAATGATTATAAAGTCAGATGACTGAAGTGCCGAGTGTTCCTTAAATCAGGTGACTTTATGACTGAATGAGCCATGAGTTGAGGTGACTTTAGTGCTGAAAAATCCTTAAATCAGATGACTTAAGTAGACTGAACGATCCTGAAATCATATGACTTAACCACTCAATTAGCCATAAGTCAAGTGACGTTACCTCTGAACGACTTTTAACTTAGTTGACTTTAGTGCTGAGTGATCCCTAAATCAGATGACTTAAATAATAAGCCATAATTCTAGTGACGTTAGTTCTGAACGAACTGGAAGTCAGGTGATTTTAGTGCATAATGATCCCTGATTCAGATGACTTAAGTGCCGAGCGTTCCTTAAATCAGGTGACTGATGAGCCATGAGTTGTGGTGACTTGAGTGCTGAACACACTGATGACTTAAAGACTCAATTAGCCATAAGTCAAGTGACGTTACTTCTGAACGCCTTTCAACTTAGGTGGCTTTAGTGCTTGATGTTCCCTGAATCAGATGACTTAATTAGACCCCACTGAGCGATCCTTAAATCAGATGACTTTAAGAATGAATATACATAAGTCAAGTAACGTTGATTCTAATCGACCTTTAAGTCAAATGATTTTAGCGCTGAATGATCCCTAAAAAGATTACTTAAGTAGGTGATCCTTAAATTAGATGTCTTTTTTTCTAAACGATCATTAAGCAAGTATGGACTAGATCTCAAAGAAACCGGATACCAACGACCAGTGGCGTAGGCAGGGGGGGGGGTTAGGGGGGGGTCATATATGTAAAGTATGAGGGGGCGTGCAAATCGAAAGTTTGAGAGGGGGAGTGCAAATCGAAAATTTGGGGGGGGAGGGGTGCAAATCGAAAGTTTGTCCCTGGGTAAAAATTGGAACCCCCCCCCCCCCCTTGAGATGATCCTGGCTACGCCACTGCCAACGACGACAAAATCCCTCTGTGGGTTGTCAAGTTCGGCGCTGTATCAGGCATATTATCGCTTTGATTTAAAAAAAAAAGTATTTATTTAATTAACTCTTACAATTTGGCGCTTTGGTATTATTATGAAAAGGCTTGGCCTTATCGGTAGAGAGTTTGACTGCTAACCCGAAAGTCTCG